GTATCGTGCATGTCGGCTTAATTACGAAACTCTCGCTGGTATCCGTATAAGTTGATAGCATCTAGCATCAGTGGAGGATGTACCGATACATTGTTTCAAGAGCGTAAATACATGTCCAATTTAAAGTTAACAACGTGGGGTTATAAACTCATTCATCGTACTGCGGATAAAAGTATTGACAAGTAGCAAAATGCATTCCGCATCTTTAAGTAACTTTATTGGGGACATCGGAATGAATGTAGGTAATTTCTTTTGGGAATGTCTGGTGGGTCTCAATTATAATTTAAACTCCGGTCGTTGCGATAAGAAGTTTCGTTACCAGGGCGTGTTCATTTAGAACGGATTTAAAATAACTTATAAAATTAAAGAAACATAACAAGGAAATGCAAAATAATAAGGAGATATGTTCACTACTTGACCACTAGGAAGTAAATTGCAAAGGTAGTATAACAATATACCAATCACATGATTGAGGAGGTTGATGCATCAGAATTTCCAAGATCAAAAGAGAACTAAAGTCGGTTAAGTAATTAATATCTATGACATAAACAGGCTATAAAAGATCCAAATAAATATGATCAAGTCGAACTTTCGGTAACTACCGCGTGTTGGAGACAAAGGTAATTCCCGACCAAATTTACTCAGTGTATTAAACCCTTGGGTAAAAATTCCACATTTGGTCCTTTGAGCCGGATGCTACATTTAATCCTTCGAGCCTTCAACCAATTGGTGCCGCGTTACCACAAGCGCTCTGGTGCTAGTGAAGTACTACTTTTTGAAGTCATTTCTAGTGTCCAAAATAGCAAGTATTAAGATAGAAATGCTGACCACGGGGCAGCTCGAGTTTGCAACGTTCCAACAATGGCACTCAGAAATCATGGACCTGGAACAAGATCGAGAACATGATTGATTACTACGTCCACACATCGCTCTATCAACGGCAGCCCCTGTAAGTCCGATGAGAATGAACGCACGCCCAATCGTCACGATACATGGAGGGCGAGGTTTCCAAGAAATACCTTCCCTACCCAGCTTGAGACACACTCAGACACACTTTCGCAGTCAGAAAAAGGCGTGCTTCAATATTGCCTGGCCACTGATGTATTATTTTCCTGACTTTTATGTTAATATCCATCATCGTGTAAGCGAGAGACCTTGTCGGTTTGTATTCTGGTTATAAATGACCATTGAGCAACTAAAATCGGCTCATAAGTAATTAACGGAGACGTACAATATTAATTTTCCCTCCTCTTCCAATCAAAGAAAATATCTGTACGGGAAGAAGTAGAAACTGCAAATTAGTTACAGTATCTTTATTTCCTTATCGGCCGCTAAAACTGCGCTACACATTAAAGTCTATTTCCAACCCATAGAAAAGAAATACGTAGGTTCAGAACTGAAATGTCTCTAAAGTGCCCGTTTGAGTTCGTCGAAGTACCGGGTGTTTATTTAAGCCGGTAGCTTCCATGAATGGTCCGATGAGACGATTCTGATATAATTTCTGTACGAAAACCATTGCCAGTTACACAGTTTGGTAGTTGCTCAGTGAAATTTATTTCATATATAGAGCGATTCATATGCATAGAGTAAGTTTGTTTTTACAGTTATTATGTTCTTTTGAGAAGAAATCTGAAACAGGTCGATCTCTGTACTTCACTTTTATAGTATGAAAAATTTTAAATTTAAAAAGAGTCGCTTGGCATGTTGTTGAAAGGGATATTCAGCAATGTATAGGTTTTTGAATTAGAATTTTTAGGAATTTTGACGATTTTTGATAATTTCTGAATCACAAAACTAAGTAAAATGGAGCGAATATTATTTGATTTATTATTTAGTGCATTTTTATTGTTGACATTAAATTTAATTTTTTTTTTTTTGGACAGGTGGGGAAATGCATTACGCACACTCCAGATGGAGGTCTGGAGTAGTGTGGGACTCTTCCATTATTTGGGCATACCCACTAAAACCCCACCTGAGGCTTCGGCTTCTAAGGCCATTTGCCGATCTATTTCCTACTTATAGCAGCTAAGATATCACAGTTTTAAAATGCATACCTACTAGTTACATATATATCACAGATTTTCAGCTCAAACGTACAGTCATAGGACATATTACAAACATTTTATCACAGTTTACTTATCACATTTATGGTGCTTAGAAATCGCAGTACTTCTGAGCATTTATGTACAGAGCTAAAATTCCCTTCCTATATGTCACTTATTTGATAGAGGTTACGCGCATCTTGGTATTCTGGACAAACACAAACTATATGCTCCGGTGTTAGGTTTACATCACACCTTACGCAATGAGGACGATCTTCACCAAATCACCGGCTAACAAAAAACCATGTGTCAAGGCAGTATGGCCAAGCCGGAGTCTATATAGTTTTATCAAAGCGGAACGATTCGTATTAACAAGAACCAGTGGTCCTAGGCTGGGCTTGACCCTCTTCAAGAATGTGTCAGATGCCCTCCACTGGTCACTCCAACGCTCATTTATTTGAGCTTTTACAAGCCTGCCTCGAACTATTTTAGACAAATCTGCAAAATTTGCTTCATGGAGTTCTAAGTGTCTCAGTTCTTCTCTAGCTCTTTCTCCTATCGTTCTACATCTATTTAGACGAGCATTTGTGATCTCATTTGTAAGCAAGTGATGGTTCGGGTGACTGTTTATCTAGAGACACTTTAAGATAATAGTTGACCAGAATCTGCTTTCGGCGAAGAGTTAAAGGAAGAATGTTTGCTTCCACGTGAAGTGAGGCGACAGGAGTTGTTGGGTATGCTCCAAGAGAATACCTTATTGCAAGGTTCTGGATTTTATCTAGTGCTCCTAATAAAGTGTTGTTACCGCATGTGAGGTAGGCAGGGCTACCATAATCAATTTTTGATAGAATCAATGCTCTATATATGTTAAGTAGAGTCTTAGCATGCGCACCCCATTTATTATGAGCTAAAACTCTGATTATGTTCAGCAACCTCCTACTTGTGGTAACAATGTTTTGCAGGTGTCTAGACCATCTTAATTCACGGTCAAATGTTAACCCCAGGAACTTGACCTCTTGGGGTACATTTATAATTCGGTCATTCATAAACAGGACGTAGTGGGTCGTAGTGAGGTTTACGAAGTCGACAGAAGTGAGTGGCCTTAGTCTTCTCTTCCGACAGCACAAATCCGACAGCGCTTGCATTTTCCCATATTTTATTTATTGCCATTTGTAATTTACGGGTTATGGCACCGATTATTTTACCAGAACAGCAGATCATCAGATCGTCAACGTACAGGCATTTATCTATTTCCTCGGTGACACCCATTGCTATTTCATTAATGGCAATGCCAAATAGGGAACAGCTTAGTGTTGATCCCTGCGGCACCCCATTCTCTAACACCTGTACCTCTGAATAGGCGTCGCCCACCCTGACAACGAATGTTCTGTTCTCTAAAAAGGATTTGATAAATTTCGGTAGGTTACCGCGTATATGATACTTAAAGAGTTTTTGGAGAATTCCATATCTCCAAGTCATGTCAAATGCGCCTTTAATATCAAAGAATACCCCAACCAGGTGTTCGCCACTGTCAAACGCCCTTAGAATTCTGTCAGTAAGTCTGACAAGGTAAAAAAAATGAAAAATATACTAAATCGTACACGTGACATTCTTTGCTTCATTTCTACGTAGTTTTGTGATAGAGACTAGCAAAGTTCCGATTTGCGATCTTCAAAATTAATTTCCTTAGTTGCAACTCCCAAAAAAACTTTACTATTACTTATTCAAAATTTGATGCACTCATGAGATTGCTCGTGATTATTCAGGACCAGGTTTTTTTAATACGGAAGGGGTACAATGGATACGAGCTGTGGTAGTTACATTGAATTTTGAAGAAGGCACGTTAATTGTTTGGAAATACTTTTCTTCTGTTGCTCTCATGTAGTGTGCCGTGAATTTTGGAAACGAAAACGGTAAAGTAACAATGGAAACAAATTTTACCGCTTCATAGAGAACGTGAACAAAGATATGTCTGGCGATAACAACCATTATCGAGATACGTATTGGGGAAAGCGAGCACGGTTTCGCCATCTCATGGAACATAAAAGTGTCGTTCCGTTTTGTTGAATGCCAAGCACGTGACAAAAATGCAGGTTTACCGTTTAAAAGGGTACGCTATTCGAGATCGTTTCGTTCAGAAAGCAAGGTTCGGTTCACTGGCCAGTCAGTAAAAGACCTTAATATTCAAAATCGGTAATAATTTATTAGTCATGATGAAAAGTCATGACTCCTCGTACAAGCTATTAGCTGTTGTGTAGGTATCTTTGGTGGTACACCTTGTCTTGAAACATCTTTTTTACACAAAAACCATTCATGGTATGTAGCTCCAGTGATCTTATTATAAAAATCTAGGCAAGTGGCAATCCGTATACACTCTCGTTTCACATCAATCATAAATGACTAGCTAGAAATTACATTTTAAAAAGATGAGCGCGTCCGACATGAACCAATCAGCTCGCATATAATGTTTTTACCGTTAATGCAATCATGATTGCACGTTTTTACTCCTTTCCTAGGGTAGAAATCGTCCCAACGCTTCTGATAGCAGAAACTTTATTTTATGTAGATTTTGTTGTCACGTCTTGTATCCGTCTTGAAAATTGAAGTATGTGAATATTTCAGGAGCACTTTCCAATTAAACTGAAACTGAGCCGTCATTCAATTTCCGACCACGCCGCCGCCGTCTTTTCCCCATACACCTAATTATTGTACTTCGAGTTTCGATTAGAATTGAAAAGCACTTAACCTTCTCGGGGCGTAGTATTTACCCCAAAAAGCGTAAAGAACTTTAATGGATCGTTGAAAATGTAAAAGAGTAACAGGTGAAAAGCAATCAAAAGATCGTAATACCCTATACCCTCTCTTTTCAATCGAGAACGGTAAAGCGACGCCGCAGACAACGTAGAGCGTCTCTCCTGCCCTTTGAATATACAGTTATACACGCGGTTTTCCGTGGAAAAGTCGCTCACTAATCGTGTTTTATGTTACAAGTACGTAAATGTAATTTGAGTGGGGGAGATTACAAATGAAAACTTTGCAGCATGGCGCGTGTCGGCTTGGGATTTTATTCTTCCCCGAAGTTTCCGAATTTGAGTTAAGCTCGCGCCAAAGTTTGCATGTGACATAAACGCGAGATTCTGTTAAATATGTAAGACACTATTAGGTGAAATGAACGAAATAATCTTTGACGATGCTTAAACCGAGCCTCCTCAGGAGCTAAGTACCGAATATCACTCAACCAGTAACTCATCAACTTTGCTCGCCTCTTCGGGAAATTCTGTGGTAACTTACACGACAATGGTAAACGGGGACCAAGACTGGCCACCGAAGAGTTTGGTTTTATGTTTTCTAGTCGCGTTAAAAATTACGGTTATGGCTCTAATTATAATAGCTGCACTTTTAGGCAACCTACTAGTTATAGTTTCTGTAATGAGGCACCGCAAGCTAAGAGTGATTACCAACTACTTCGTGGTTAGCCTTGCATTGGCGGATATGCTGGTGGCAATATGCGCGATGTGTTTCAATTTTAGCGTTGAAGTAACGGGCGGTTTGTGGGTTTTCGGGTACTTTATGTGCGACGTTTGGAACTCCTTAGACGTGTACTTTTCCACAGCTTCCATACTACATCTGTGTTGTATAAGTGTTGATCGGTATTACGCTATAGTGCAACCCCTCGATTATCCGCTTATAATGACAAACACTAGATTAGCTGTCATGTTAGCTGTAGTGTGGTGTAGCCCAGCTTTGGTGTCCTTTTTACCAATACTAATGGAATGGTACACTACCGACCTAAGCTTGGAGTTTCGCAGAAAAAACCCGCAACTCTGCCATTTTACGGTTAACAGGACTTACGCCGTCATATCGTCCAGTGTCAGCTTTTGGGTTCCGGGAATGGTGATGATCTTTATGTATTACCGCATATACGTAGAAGCCGACAGGCAAGAACGAATGCTGTACAGGTAATACTTTTTTTTATAAATAAGTGTTGCGACTATAAATAACAACCCCTAAGTTTAGACAAAAATCGTTATACAAACGGTTATCTACTGCCCATGACCGTTTAGCGTGTATCAACTGTTTGAGGGGTTTTTACTTGCCACTTAATATTTTATGTACTTTTATAAATAGACATCCCGAATTAACTGTTTGCATTTATCTCATTACATTCTAAATACATAAGTAATCTCGTTTACTTTTCCCTCGGGCCTATGCTTTATCCATTACGAATGTAATTGAATCACTCCCAACTATGAAGTGAATAAGGTAATAAGATACGTGTGCTCAAATCAGAAATTGCTAAACGGGTTGATTGAGGTTTGATGTTCCTTCGTTCGTAAAACACAGAGATGACGATTTTTTTTTCTACTAACAACACAATTTCAATACAAGGTGCTAGTAACGATGGGAAAAGTGGGGCTGCAATTTTAAAATGTAAATTACCTCATTGATATAAAAGTGGAATTACGTGTAAATGGTTACACAACGGCAATTCGAGGCGGAGCTTCTCCACTCAGAAGCTCCTAATGAATGGTTTATGAACCGTCTCCCGTTCAATACCAATAGCAATTGCTAAAATCTGTATTAGACCGACTCGATACAGCGGATCCAACACAGGTTTTCTTAAGATGTTTGGTGGCTATCTCTTACCTCGATCCTCTAACTCTTTGTTTTCCAGGAGGCATAAAGAACCGAAGTTGTGTTGTGTCGATTTGCATTTAAAGAGCAAAGCCTCCGGTCATGATCATTTGTGCGGAAAGTCTTACAGTCTAGGGTTAAAATTTGATGTAATATAAGTTTGCGTTAGTTTTTGTGCTCCTACTCCGCAATTTAGTACGTGAACACCAACGGAGATACAAAATGTTTACTTTAAAACTTAATAATATGAAGGAAAGTGTCAGTGTTCGCCATTTCATGTTGTTTAGTGTGACTATTTGCACATTGTTTGCATCAATTGTCACGAATAATACAGTTTCTAAACTTTGATAAATTTCAACACAGTAGCACGGCAACTTAAATTTAATTTGTGCGAGTTTTGTGCTGTTCGATGATTGTTAACTACCCAAGAGGTGCATTTCTGGATAAATTTAGACAATATACTTTTTAGTTTCGCCTTTATCTTTGGCTATATAACTAGGACGTCCTTTCTATTAATGTATCTTAATACGTATGACTACTAACGTCCATTTAAGGTTTTAAAAATAACAAGAAGTGATTATTCACTAGCTACTAAGGGAATTGCATGTTAATTAGCCACTGCCGATGATGAGTTTTTTTTTCAAAAACGCGATATGCCGATATCGCGGGTATTCGTGAATTCTCGAGAATGTCCGTGATCTTTGTAGAAACTGAACGTTTTCTGTATAAGTAAATCGAATTGTGTTTAATAGAAGTTCCAACATCGACGTTGCAGTGATGAATTCTTCGCGCTCGTGCTTAAATGTTATAAAAATATGGGTACAAGTGAGTTTTTGTGAAGTTATAATTTAAGTATTCATTAATTGTAAATAAATGAATTCGTAACTAAATTTACGTTACACTATTTTTATTAAAAACTTATAAAAATAAAGAATCACTTTGCGTTCCCCGATTGTTCTACTGTGGTTCCTTAACAACACCTATAAAGGCATGCTTTGTAAGCTAAAATTTTATATACATTCCAATACATGTAAGTATAGGTATTGCCGTGTAACTTTTAAAGGGGATTTCCACAATAAAGAGCTAGTAAGTAAAAGTAGCTTATATGGTCCCTGTCCCAAAAACTTAGATAGAATCTAATAGAATGAAAAAGTGTAAACGTGATTCAAATCGCATATAAAACGCAAACACAGATTAATTTTTTTTATTATATTATATACAGTGTTGCCTTAAAAGTAACGCAAATAAATTTGTTTCATATTGTGTTTGCAGAAAAAGGGAAAAACACGTCGTTTAGTACATAAAAATTGCCATTGATTAGCTGACGATCTTTGGCAAGAAGTTCCCGCATAAACGATTGCTATAAAATTAAACGGTAAGACACAATAAAATATAATTACACATAAAATTGAATTTTGAAAATAAAATAGCAAACGGTTCACACGGCGGCGGGGCGGTACGGTAGCTCGAGCGCCACCCGAAGATTCTGAAACTCTGCTTCTGGCCAAAGTCGACGATTTCGGAAAAGTTTCGGAAGCGTCAGGTAGTCGGACGGGAGAAACGGCGATTTTGGGGAACGGGCGGTCAGGCACTGGTGAATAATCTAGAACAGAATTGCGACACACGGAAACGGTCGCGATTTCCCAAAACGGGAACGGAAAGACAACTTAATTATCGTTATCTAGCGGAAAACAAAACAAAAGTAAGCAAACCCCCTTTATAATTAACGTAATGAAAATATCAAATGTTTACATTGATTGAACTTAAATATGCAAAGTTTAACACGAAAGCCAAAACGGAAAAAGATTCTCCCTAAATCATACTGTTACCTTATGTAGAATTCGCAACCAAAATACAGAAATGGAACATCGGAATTTCCTGCCGGTCGGCGTATTCTGGCGATAAGGTCGAAAAATTAAAATTTCTTGGACTAATTACTCGATCTCTTGTTATCCTAAAACTGTGGGACCAGCATTAAAATTGATGCCAGACGAGGATTGCTGTAACACAATTAGTTAACTCGGGTTAATTATTCTTAACTAAATGGGTTGAAATTCCGAAATTCGGTAGTTCAGTTAATAATGATCGGCGTCCCGGAATCCTGGGATCAAGCAACAGGTCCGAGAACAGGTCACTTTATCAGGTTTATCTACGTGTAATTTTAAATTAACGTAGGAAAACTGAAATTGGCCACTCATGAATTAACTTATCAGAAAATACAATATTAGTTTCCTCCTCTTCCGATCGAAGAGAGCTTTCCGATGCTGCAAAGATAATTGAAATATCTCTACGGGAACGGTTACACACTGCTGATTAGTTAGGAATCTTGATTTTTTTTAATTGAAAGCGAGTGCCTTGTTACACGTGCGAATCAAAATGAATCGAAAAACGCCAAACACCTAATAAAGGACAGGTCTAACTTGAAACGATTGCCACCCTTAAAAATGTCCTATGTCCTGTGTATCACTTTATATCAAAGACATTTTTTTTTCTTAAGAAAGTAAACAAAGTTAAACCTTATTTCAACAAATTCGTCAATTCAATGACGTCATAAATCTGTCAAATATCGCTCAAAAATGCCCCTGAAAATGGTACTTTTTATAGTACCTTTTTATTTTTGAACACAGCAGCAAATGCGAATTTTTGCGCTAATTTTGGGACGCACTGTATGTATCATTTTAAATGGACGACTTCCAAGTATCTGAAATTTCTGATTGGATTTTAGGGAATTATGATATATCTAGATATGGTATCACTAGGTACAGATCAATTTTTAGATCACAAATCCCATCTTCAATTCTTTTGACGATTACAAAACTTTCTATTCCCATACTACGCAGAAACACGGAAGTAAAAATCATACCCTTCGTTTGAATCACAGTCGAATGGTTAACAACAAAATTAGCTAAAGTCCCATAAAGCGGCCTGAGATTAGTCTTTTATTGCACCCACTTTCGTTATATTGATTGCTGTTGTATTATAAAGCGATTGTTCAGTTTCATTTGAAACAGTAGGTCAGGCTATACAACGGACACTTCATGTTTTATTGACCCTGAAGTAAGTAATTAATGAACAACGTATTAATAATGCCGACCGTATGTTCATGTTTCTGTTTCCGGAAAAGAGAACTGCCCATGTTGACAGGATATTAGCCAGGATAAACTCCAAAGAAGTGAAACGCTTTAATTCTGTGTTACGTAGAATTGTATATTGAGACAAACGAAATAAATGTTGATGAATTTAATCGTTAACTATGTACAATAAAAATACTGCGTTGCCATACATGTGAAGCTAATTACTTTAATTAGTACACTGGTGTGCTGGTTTGATTCAAAAGGAATCCGACACTACCAGAGTAGATAACTTTTCAGTTAAAAACTTTAAAAGTTATTAAACTTTTCGTTATAATGTACGACGATAATTAGAGAAAAGGGTTTTAAAGAACCAGAAAATTCCGATTATTTCCGAAGATATGCCGGAGAAACCGAAATTTTGCGAGTTGGTTTGTATTTTTTTTCTTATGTTATTTGAACAGATGCAAAAAGATTAAAAAACACTTTCTCATTGCCCCTTTTGCGTACTGAAAGTGCACCGGTGAGAGATTTTCAAAACAACGTTTCGTTTCGGAGAAATCTTCTTCGGAAGTAATCGGATGTTTCCTATACTTTTTATATAGCCCTAAAAGGAGTTACAGTGATTTGCAGAAAAGTCAAAAACACATTTTTTTCTAAATATCTAGCCAACTATGAATATCTTTGGAAGAGCATAAGGTGTTCTTGGTAAGTCACATAAGACTATAAATCTTTCTCCATTTTAACCTAATTCTTATCTCTTACATTTCCAAAAATCTCCATACTATACTAAAAACTCACCCTGTGTATCATTATTCGACACCTACACCATGTTATTAGAATTCAAATTGTAGCTTTTGTTAAGACAAAAAGGCAACAGCGGAGTAGGTTCTTATACAAACAAAATACAACTAAACATATTAAAATTACAGGGATTGAATGTATATTTGAAGTTGAAAACGTGAAATCAGCAAAACACAGCCATGGAAATTTTAGTTTCGGACTTGCCAGTCTATTGTAATTGTGATATCTGACATTGCACCATTAGTAATAGATGTGGGGTGGGTTGCCAATAATTTATACTTCCAGGATTTATGGTAGAATATTCGCTTTCACGAAAATATAATAATTCCTAGCACATTTAGTATGTGTCCCCCTCCGCTTGACAAATAATGTATTTCGTGATGAATTTTTAATGCCACCCAGACACAGATTCTCTGCATCGCGTGAATAATGATGTTCCAAATTTTCGACGAT